GGGGGCAAGGGGAAGAAGGAGAGGAGGTGAAGGGGAAAGGGGGGAAAAGGAAGAAGAGGGGAAGAGAAGAGATAATAAAAGAAAGAGGGGCAAAAGGAAAGAGAAAAAACGGGAGAGACAGCTTGTGGGGCCAAGAACATGGCTCAGCAAATACAGGTGCTTGCCTGCAAGCCTGATGACCAGGGTTCAATTCCTGGGGCTCACAGGATAGAAGGATTCAATTTTTGACTCACACAAGTTGTACATACACATGCATGCACAAAACACCCCCCCCTTTTTTTTTTTTTTTTTCAAGACAGGGTTTTTCTGTATAGCTCTGGCTGTCTGAGAACTTACTCTGTAGAGCAGGCTGGCCTTGAAACTCACAGAGATCCATCTGCCTCTTTCTCTTGAGTGCTGGGATTAAAGGGATGAGCCACCATGCCCAACTTTGTAAGCAGTTTTTAGTCATTGTCCTCACTCACACAGAATTGCAATTTGAGGGAGAAAAAAAAACAACAACTAAAAATAGCTAAAGGAATGCTTACAAGATGAATTTCATCTTCGTGGGTAGATGACTGAGGGCTGAGGCAAGTGCCACGAATTTCTGCAGGAGCATCTACAGAGCACACATTTGGAGATCCCTTTGGCCTACATATTGAGCCTTTTGGGGCCTAATTTGTTGGGAGGCCAGGAGCTGAGCTGGGACACTGGTAACAAGCAGATAGGGATTGTGGAGGTCCAAGGCTCCCACAGGGCCTTGTGGGAGCAAGGGGCAAGCACAGGCCAGTACCTCCGGCTACACACCATCCTCATTTCAGACCCAGTGGGGTGCTTGTCTCACACAACCTTGGCCTTAGTTTGTATGGGAAATGATTCCAGAGCGTGCCAAACCAGCAAAACATTGATCCCTCGGTCAGGTTAATTCTGTGGCGTCAAGATGGCTTGTGTGCCAAAGGTTTGGTTTTTGGTTTTTTTTTTTTTGTTTTGTTTTTTTCCTCTAAGACAAAGATAAGATTCACAGAGATAATATTTAGGTTCTCAACAATTGGCAGTTACTCAGTTTATCTGCAAGTGAGTTCTGTGAGAACTCACTGATTTAATTAACTGAGCAACTACTTACAAGTTTGTTATACGCTGGTACCACATAAAGTGTAAGGAGTTAAAAAATAGAGGGCTGGGAGCACGCTCAGGGGGTAAACTGCATAGGCACGGTGACTTAAGTTTGATCCTTAGCACCCATATAAAAAGGTGACATGCGCCTGCAATCACAGCCTAGGGGAGGTGGAGGCAGCAGCATCGCTGGACAGCCAGCCTAGACGACTCGGTGAGCTCCGTGTTCCGTGACGGACCCTGTCTCAAACAATAAGATAGAGGGGGATTGAGGAAGACAGCTGATGCCACCTTCTGCCTACACATACACCATACACAAACAATATTTGTGGTGGTTTGAATAAGGATGTCCCTCACAGGCTCATATGTTTCAATGCTTGGTCATTAGGGAGTGTCACGACTTAACAGTGATTAGGAGGTGTGGCTTGGTGGAAGAGGCACACCACTGGGCTTGGGCTTGGCTTTAGAGTTTCGAAGAAATCCCAAGCCAGTCCTGGTATCTTTCTTTTCCTGCTGCCTGTGGACCCAGATGTAGAACTCTTAGCTATCACTCCAGTACCATGTCTGCCTGGGTGCTACCGTGATGATAATGAACTAACCCTCTGAAATTGTAAGCAAGTCCCAATTCAGTGATTTCTTTTATGTGAGTTGCTGTGGTCATGGTGTGTCTTCCCAGCAACAGAACGATGGCTAAGCCAATGTTGTTGTGGAAGTTCAGCTTTATGATATGTAAACATGTTTTTGTTTTAATCCCAGGTGTGGGATATGGGACTGATTCTGAGAGTCCACAGCAGCAAACTATTTACCTACTGTGTGCTCTGAGAGGGGCCCTTTGCCAGCTGTAGATAATTTAGTTTTGAGGACTCTGAGAGGGAATAAATGCCAGAGCCCAGAGAGAGAAGAAGGCTGCAGCTGCTTCCCCCTGCTGCTCCTGGTTGCTGTTGACACAGTTTGACAAGAAGTAGGAGAGATCCTGAAATGAAGGTTAGCCTTGTCCCAAGGAACCCACCAACCCTAACCAGTAGGAAGTAGCTAAGACAACTACGCCCCTTCTCCCCACTAACCTTTCTCTTCTACCCGGTGTTGGAGTGTTGGAAGGGATTGGGGTGGAAAATGAAGGTAGAGGCATAAGAAGCAAAAATAAAATGGTTTTTAAAAAGTATACCAACCCGCTGTTAAATAAAGGAGGCCCAGGGGTGTAGCTCAACTGTAGAGCATTTGCCTAGGATGCCCAAGGCTGTGTTTTAAATCCTTACGATGATGATGATGATGGAAAGAAAGGAGTGAGAGAGGAGAGAAGAAGGGAGGTGATGGAACTGACCTGTAATGGTAACCAGAATGAGGACATTTTTTTTTTTAAACAATATCTGGAGAAAGTAAGGAGGTGAGCTGTGAAGAGATCCAAGAGAGAGGCATTCTGGACAGAGGAATGGGATTTAAAGGCTCCGGCAGGAGAAGCCAACCAGGAAACAAGGAGGGGGGGCTGTTGGGCTGGATGAAGAAGCAGGGGGACATGTGAATGGAGAGGTAGCCACGGCTGGCCAGAATCCTCTGAAACCTTTGTCGTGGAGATGCTCCAGGATCCTCAACAGGCAGACGGTTGCCCTGTGCCTGGCATGGAGCAGTTATCGACTGGTGATGCCCTTAAGCTGTCAACTGGACCACCCACTCTTCGACGGAATGACTTCCTAGGTGTCTGTGTGTCCACAAAGCCCTAGAACACGGGGCCAGACGTGACGAATTGCCAACCAGCAACCTAGCACAAGGGAGCGGCATCACCTCTGAGATGCAAGGAGTCCTGGGACATCGGAATGAGCCTAGAGATGAAATGAAATGATGAGCCGAATGGAGCCTTTAACAGAGAGCGCTGCATGAGTGAGCAGGCACGTAAGATGAGGCCTCAGAAAGGGCCAGAAGCAACCTCAGAGCTCGTGATGGCTGGCAGAGGTGAGCCTGAGTTGCTGAGTCATTTGTGTGCCCTCCAGGAAGCTACACGCTGCTCTCTTAAGGAGTCTGAACCATACAGAACGCACGGAAACTCTCAGGCTTTTTGACCTCAGTATTTAGTCATTCTCTCTGAAGTTAACCTGGGCAATGAACTCTCATGTAGAATTTTTTTTTTTAAATATATTTTAAAACCACAACAAAAAGGCAAATACAAAAACGTGTAACATAAAATTTGCCACTTTGACCACTTGTTAGTAAGATTTAGTCATTTCGGGGATGTTATTAGTATCTTATCCTGCTGTGCCATAGATCTCCTAAGCTTCATCCAGAAAACCCAAACTCTACCCTTATTAAACAGCCAAAGCTGGCAGCCTGCTGAACACCATGCTGCTTCCTGTCTCTATGAATTTTAATTTCCTAGATATTTCATATAAGTGAAGTCAGGAAACATTTGTGTGTTTGTGACTGGTTTATTTCACTCAGCGTGTAAGACCATCAAGGTTTGTCTGTTCTGGCGGATGACAGGGCTTTCCTGGTTAAGGCTGATTAATATAATAATTGACACCATCTTTTGCTTATTAATCTATGCATAGACACCTGAACTACAATAATGCTGCAATGTTTTGAATATTCAAATATCTCCGAGAGCTTGATTTACTCACTGTAATCCTTCCCTGTCTTCCCCACTCTTTCTCCTTTTTTTCTTCCTTCCTTTCTCTTCCTTCTTTCCTTTCTCCTTGCTACTCTGCTTGCTTGCTTCCCCTCCTTTTGTGTGTGGTTGGTTCTGGATGCCAGAGATTAACCCAAGGAATTATGCATACTTTTACAGACTCTAACCCTAAGTCGAACCCAGCCCAAAAGCTTCTATCAACATGCAGTCCTTCAGTCTGTGATAGCTTGCCTTACAGATCTAGACTTGGCAAGGGTATGAATGGAACACATTCAGTAGGAACTGTACTTTGAATTTTGACCTTTCACCAAGCTATTGATGTATATAATACAACACTGTTTTGCAACACTGGGCAGCGGCTGGAACCAGGAACTCTCAGCCTTGTGTCAAAATGAGGGACAACCAATACTCTTCAGAGTGCTGTTTTACTTAGCCCGGATCCTGGGTAGGTTAGGTGCACTGAACTGATTGTAGCCAAGCCTGGATCCTGGGTATGTTAAGTGTATTGAATTGAACGCAGTTTTGACTTACCATAGATTTGGCTAGGCAGAGTGTGTATGCTTGTAATCCCAGCACTTAGGAGGTAGAGGCAGGAAGAGCAAGAGTTCAAGAGAATTGGAGGCTAGCCTGGGCTACTGGAGAGCCTATCTCAGAACAAACAAACACAAGAATAGTCAGAATTTTACCTTATAATTTGGGCAGGATCTATGTACTCAGAAATGGACTTTCCGGATCAAATGACCGGTCCATTTAAAATTTTCCTAGGGAACACAGTATTGCTCTCATAGCTGAGCATTCTATACTCTGCTTACAGTGCAGGTGTCAGTTACTCCATCTCCTCCCAGGACTGGCTATTTTTTGAGGGGGGGAGGACTTGTTTTGTTTTTATTGTAGCACTGTTAATAGGTATGAGACACTCTCTGTTGTGTCTCTTGTTTTTAAGTCAGTAAACTTTTATTGAAAAGATTTCACATGTGATGCCTTCACTGTCCAGCAAGGTCACGGAAGTTCAAGATTTCTCAAGGCAGCCTTTTCTCAAGTGATGCTTGATGAAGTCTGTGCTAACCGCACAGGGATCTTTGGTATCAAGTTCTTCAAACACTTTCATTTCAGAACCATTTCAGGATAGACCTACCTCCCACATGCTGATACCCCCTATGAGTTCAAATCATACAAATTCCTCTCACACTCATAATGTCAGAAAGAGGAGAGGAAAGAGGCAGAGGAGGAAGAGAAGGAGGAGGAGGAAAAGAGAAGGAGGAGGAGAAAAATTAGTGCATCTCTTGTCGTTAACTGTCTCATAGTTTCCCACAGGCCCAAGAAACAGTCCTATGAGCAAACAAGACCACAAGCTACTCTATGAAGCATTTCTGACAATGTGTGGCTACAGGAGAAATCCTATCAGGGTAGACCTCCATCTTGTTTTTAAGTTAAGCATTTAGTCCTGTCAGTTCCCTTCACTGCTTCTCCTTCCAACCATCTCAGTCTGCCTTCCCAGCCCACTTCCACTGAATTCTCCAATAGAACTTTTCTGGAACACGTTGTGACACGGGGGAGCCCAAGCTGGTAAAAGTAAGAAACTACTAAAACCCTTCCTTCCCCAGTACATTTTTTAAACAAACAAAAATTATTTTACATTTTTAAAAATTTACTTATTTGTGCACCCAAGAGTCTGTGAAGGCCAGAGAACAAGTCTTTCTCCCTCATGGCTCCCAGGGATCAGCTTGGGTCCCCATGGTTGGTGCAGGCACCTTTACCTTCTGAGCAGCGCCTCCCAGCCCTCCTCTGCCCCCACTCCCTGCCCATGTGTGTCAGGGAGACTGAGCATGGACTTAGTGTCCTTGCTAATCTCTGTGACAGCAGCTCGGCCAGAATATTGGTTTTGGCCTCTGTAAGGATCCATACTTACAGAACACCCCATTTTTATAGTTTGGCCATTAGGATTCGAGTCTCCAGTTGATTAGATAAGGAATTCCACGTAAGGTGGTTCAGGGCAGAGGAGGAAGTTGACACATCACACCCCAGCCCATGTTGGCTCTGAGAAGCCCCTCTGCCCCCCAGACTTGCCTCACTGGGTTTCCCCTTACCAAGCCTGTCCTTGGCAAGCACTGAGTCTCCTTTGAAAGTTTTCTGTGTTGAATAAGAGGCCTTTGATTTTTTTTTCTTTCCTTCTGACCTTTTTTCTTTTTTTAAGTTGCTGTAGTTAAGAGCCCCGGGCCAGATCCTGCCCCTAGTTACTATTTCTATGGCGTTTGGATTATACACATAAGCAAACATTGAGCTGAGTTCATTACAGTCTCTTAATAACAACTTCCATCTGCATTTCTCTTTAGAGTGTAGAAGGTATTTGTACATATAACTGTTCATTCCACCCACATAAACACAAACACTGATAGATAAAGCAGAAATCAGTCCTGTTTTACAGAGGAGTTGAGCCTTAGATCAAATGGCCTTAGGCCACACAGGCATACAAAGGACCCAAGCTCAGACCTTTTGATTCTTAATCTGTTCCAAGGAGAATTCTGTTTTTTTACTGGTGATTATGGAATTATAAAACCACATGGAAAAGTGGTTAGTAAATTATTCCTGTGTACGGAACTTGCTAAAGAGCTAAAAATTGTGGAAGAGAATATAATCAAATGAAAGTAACTAAATTTGTGACATTTAAGACTGAAGAAGTAGTCTTACAGAAAGTGTGGGGAAGGACTATGGTAGATTGCTGAAATTCATTTATCTAGTCTTTGACAATGCTTCCTAGGAAGTGGTAAATGAGGAATGAAAGGATAAGTGGATGGAGTTACCTAGAGTTCTCCCAAGGATGAGAGCCCTGACTGCTTAACTGGAGCTCCTACAGCAGCGGTTCGCAACCGGGGCCATGACCCCTTTGGAAGTCCAGTGACCCTTTCACAGGGATCACCTAAAGCCATCGGAAAACACATTTACGTTGCAATTCATAACGGTGGCAAAACTAGTTATGAAGTAGCAACAAAAAGAACGTTATGGGTGGGGGTCACCACAACATGAGGCCCTTTATTAAAGGTCACAGCGTTTGTTAGGAAGCTTGGGAAACACTGATCTATGGAGAGAGAGGATGGAGGCGGTAAAGAGATTGGCTCCTACATGGAGTAGAGCTCAGGCTGCTAATCCCAGAACTCTGGAAGTGGAAGCAAGAGGATCACAAGTTTTAAAGCTAGCCTGGGCTGCAAAATTAGACCCTGTGTCACATAAAACAAAACAACAAAAACAAATTAAGGGAATGAGCAAATAATCAAAAAAGCAAGGAAGAAGGGAGGGGAGGCACATATGGAGAGAAAGGCCTGGTTTGCAGTGGATTCCTGGACCCCTGCCTCAAAATTGTGTGTTTAGTAAGACAGCCAACACGTCCACGCAGCCTCTGTATTTTGGTGGTGTATCTGTGATGCTAATCACTTCCACCAATTGATGCGACAGACCCAAAGTGCTCTAAGGGTGCCTGGCTCACCCCAGGGACTCTGGAAATGTTCTTGGGCTTTATAACCTCAAGGAACAGAGAGGAACCATCTGGCTGAGCAGAAAGCCACAGAGAAGGAGCTGGCCTGCACTCTCCCTTCCCTGGTCATTCAGAAGGGGCTTTAGGTTTGGAAGAGCAGCCCTCCAGTCTAGCCTTTGCACTGGAGCAGAGCACAAACAGCAAGAGAGGCTTGTTGGGGGCCTTTTGCTGATCTCACCAAGAGTGGCTTCCCTTAGCAATATGGTGATTGGATCCCCAGATATGTAGCGGGGAGTTGTCATGATCTATGTCCTAACTCAGTTTTTGATAAGGTAAACTATAAAACTCTAAATGGACTCACAATTTAAGTGTTCAAAGGTAACTGCAGTAGGTGTTGTGTGGCTCAGGCAATTCAACTAGCCTCCCTTAGGGACCTTTAGTGTCCTGACAATGCCCTCTGTCAGTACCTGTAGGCCACGCCCCCTTTCTCTTGCCCTCTTGCTCTCTTGCTTTTCCCCTCTCTTGCTTTCTCTCCTTTCTCTGTTGGGGCACCCCCTCCTCCCATGTCTCTCTTTTTCCTTTTCTTCTCTATCTCTCCACGTCCATCCAATAAATCTCTTTTTTTAATTTAATTTTATTAATTACACTTTATTCACTTTGTATCCCCCCATGAGCCCCTCCCTCCCCCTTCTTCACACATGCCCCTCCCCAAGTCCACTGATAGGGGAGGTCCTCTTCTCCTTCCTTCTGATCTTAGTCTATCAGATCACATTAGGAGTGGCTGCATTGTCATCTTCTGTGGCCTGGTAAGGCTGCTCCTCCCTCAGGGGGAGGTTGATCAAAGAACAGGCCAATCAGATTATGTCAGAGGCAGTCCCTCTTCCCATTACTATGTAACCCACTTGGACACTAAACTGCCATGGGCTACACCTGTGCAGGGGTTCTAGGTTATCTCCATGTTCCAGAAGCAGAAAGACACATACCGTATATACTCACTCATATAGACATATAACATAGGATAAAACTACTAAAATCTGTACGTCTAAAGAAACTACTCAAGAGGGAGGACCCTGACTAAAACTCTCAATCCCCATCCCGAAAGGCAAAGAGGATGGACATCAGAAGAAGAAAACAGGAAACAACCTAGGAACCTGCCACAGAGGGCCTCTGAAAGACTCTGCCCTTCAGACTATCAAAGCAGACGCTGAGACTTATGGCCAACTGTTGGGCAGAGTGCATGGAATCTTATGAAAGAAGTGGGAAATAGTAAGATCTGGAGAGGACAGGAACCCCACAAGGAGAGCAACAGAACCAGAAAATTTGAACACAGGGGTCTTCCCAGAGACTCATACTCCAAGTACCAGGCAATAAATCTCTTTTAAAATTAGTCGTGGGGTATATGTGTGGGGATAAGGGGTATTTGTGAGGGGGTGGGTGTTTCTAGAGAAGATTAGTAGAATGGGGCCTGCCTTGGACGTGGGCAACACTGTCTTATAGGCAGAAGCTGGGATGGAGTAAGTGGAGAAAAGGGAGAAAGGCCATGAGGATATTCTCAATGTCTGTCTGTCTCTGTCTTTCTCTTCTCTCTCTCCTTCTCTGGCTAGTATGAGGTGAACATCCTCCCTCCCTCTTGTGCCATCATGATGTTCTTTCTCCGCGCTCAAAAGCGTACAGTTAAGTTGGTCAGGGCTGAAAAACTGAAACCATGAGTCAAAATAAACATTTCTTTCCTCAACCTGTTCCTCTCCAGCATTTATCACAGGGACAAATAACTGACACAACCCTCCATAAGTGGGGACACTGGGACATGGTCTGTGGGTATCAGAGTTCATCTGAAGGACTGCCAAGGGCAGGACATAAAACTTCCCTCTCAAGACAGAAAATTCTCACAAAAAGAAAAGTTTCTGAGAGAATCGCATGCAAACCAGCTTACAAAACTCTGGGTTTTTACCTGTTATATTAGCAGATATTGAGTATGTATAATGACGACTTATGGCATTTCACACTTGTAAATAATGCATTTTTGTCACTTGCTACCCTCTGCCCCATCTTCTCGAACTTCTGCTAATTGTCCCATTGTCACAGCTGGTCCTAATTTTCCTTTTTTCCTTGTTTGTTTCTTCGTTTCTTCTTTTTCTTGTATATGTGACCCAGTTAATTTAATTAGGGGTGTATTTACAAGAGCATGGACACCTTATCAGTGGCTATACCACTCAACAAAATGTCTCTTCCAGGATAACAAGATGACTCAGGGGTAAAGGTGCTTACAGCCAAGCCCAACTACCCTAGTTCAATCCCTGGGCCTCATAAGTTGTTCTCCGATATCTATGTGTTCCTATGCACACGCACACTCACTCACACACACATATATATATTCACACACACAAACCTACACGCACTTAAAAGATAAAATTGTTTTTTAAAGGGACGCCTAAAAATTGCATCACTTTTAAAACTAAACTCATCTAGATTTAGAGGGGAATTCTTTTAAACCTAGTATATTTTTCTCTTCCATCGCCTTATTGCCATGAACCTCTGAAATGCCTTTCAAATGGGACTTCTGAATGTCAAATGTAGACAATAGCTAATGCTGGACGGACAAAGACTTCTTTCTTCTCAACTAAAGAAAGAATTCCAGGAACTGCTCTCCACTGAGGCCCTCACTGTCTGCATACCAGGGGCCCATGCCTGAGACCATGTTTACAGCCATGAAGATCTTCTCTAGAAAGACAACAGAGGGTGAATCAAAGAGCACCGAGTACAGAGACAGATAAAAATTTAAAATAATTGAAAGTTGTTTTATAGCAAAAACTAATTTTAACTTACTAATTAGTCGCAGTAGCATTGTGGCTAAACTTTCAAATGCGCATAACTTTCGAGATATACACTAATTAATATGCAAGGGACAAAATGAGACAAAATCGGAAAATTCCTATAACTACTTTTGAA